GGCCCTCCCTCCGCACCTTGATGACTCGGAAGCTGAGGTGGCGCCGGTTGAGCATGATGATCTTGTACTCGTCGGAGGCGTCATCCAGGACGTGGCGCAGAGCCAGCAGTGAGGGTGTGTTGCTGAGGATGGCGCTGCGCCAGGCCGGGTCACCCTCATGTGAGATGACCAGGCGCTCCTCGTTGGCGGCGATGGCATCATACAGAGCGGCCGGCTCCTCGTACTCATCTGGTGATGTGAAGTGGTCCTGCGGGGCCAACGGGATGGAGGCTGGGTCAGTGGCCCCTGCCCTGTGGAGGGGCTTCATCCCCCACATGCCACCCTACCTGGGCACACCTCTCCCCACCTGGTGAAGCTTGAGGGCCATGCGAACCCCGGGTGCCACCACACGATGAAGCAGGTCCATGTCAGCAAAGACCCACTCATCACGCGGGGAGGTGATGCGGAAGTCCCCCTTGAACAGGGCGTGCAGGCCGTAGAGGAAGGGTTCCAGGCTGGGGGAGAGAAGGAACAGGGGAGCGTGAAGGTTTCGGAGCTCTGGCGTTCCACACAGGGGTCTGAGCTGAGACCATTCTTCATGCTGGGCCTCTGCTTCCCCATCCTGACAAGGTTGGTCTCTGTCTAGGTCCCTCACGGGGTGGTGAGGAACGCACAAGGTCTAGAACTGGGAGGCGCCTTGCCCACAGGGAGGAGCCACCCTTAAGGAAGGGCTGATGCGGTTCCTGGGGGCTGCTGGCCCAGAGCTCTTTACGGAGAGGATAGAGGAAAACACAGGAGACCCGGATGGACCTGTGGCACTCACCTGGCAGACATGCTATGCGAGGCTGTCCCCAGGGCCCGTCGGCCCAGCACACACAGGCCAAAACACAGCGTGACCAGCGGCGAGTTCCAATCTTGGTCCACAGGCTGCAGCACAAGGACCCCGTCCCCAGAGCCCCACTCAGATCCAGGACAGGGAACTTGCGGTGGGGGCTAGGGCCCAGACCAAGGGAGGCTGAGAGCAAGAGAACCCGTACAGGGAAGGGAGAACTTGGGAGTGGGGCGGGGGGGCAGCCCCAGGGTAGTGGGGACCGGACCTGGCTGCGCCGGGAGGCACAGTACTGGATCCACTCAAGGTGCACCGCACAGAAGGAAGGCAGTGAGAGGCCGGAGAGGCGAAGGTCATAGTCCTCATCCACACTCAGTGAGAAGGTGGGGTCCGAGTCAGCGTAGCCCGGCGCCCTCACGGGCCGCAGGGCTGCTGCGATGCCCTCGTGATTGAGCCACGCCTCCAGCTTCGGTGAGCGGCTCACGTAGTAGATGATGCTCTGGGAGGAGAGGGCAGGCATCAGAGCTGGGGCCAGTGACTGGGGTCATGCCCTAGCCACGGAAGAGAGAGCACCAGGATGCGACCTAGGACACCCACCTCGTGTCTCCTCTGAGTTCCCTGAAGCTACACAGGCTAGTCTGCTCCCCTCTCCGAGGCCAGGGAGGAGAAGAGAGAAAGCTGCCGGGAAGCAGCCCCCCCTTACTAAGCATCCCCTGGAAGGTTCTGCACTGTGGCAAGTGCTCGCCTGCTTGCTTCAGAAGATCCCCCATTTGTAAGAGACTGAGATTCAGAAAGACAGCAGACTTGCCTGAGGTTACACAGCAGGGCAGACTGAGCTAGGATTGGAGCCCCCAGGACCTTCCACACCATTCCGCGGTGGGATCCAGATCTCAGAGGCCTTGGAAGGTCAGGCTGAGGTAGTGGGGCTGCCTACAGGCCAGTGGGGCCTAAGTGCCTGTGGGTCCTGGGTCCCTTCAGGCAGCTGAGGTCTGACAGCCACAGGGCATTCCTCTCAGAAAAAAGGCAATGGCACGTAACCTGTGTCCAAAGTCAGAGGCTCCTGTACCCTTTCAGGGGATGCTTGTTGCTGAACAGGGGTTTGAGCCAACGGAGAAGAGCTTCTGGAAGGCAGACGGGCAGGACGAATGGGCGGTGTGAGGCTGGCAGTTGGCAACCGGGAAGGTTATTGGGATTCCATGTGCCACCCTGGGATGGAGCCGATGGGGCTGGCCCCATGCCCGGGGACAGGGTGGGAAGTCCAGGGCTGGGGCGGGTACTGCAGCTGGCCACGAACAGAGGGCCCCCAGGCAGCAGGAGTAGGAACGTCCAGCAGGGTAGCTCTGGTGGGATACGCAGGCCCGAGAGGCTGCCCTCAACAGCTGCCATCCCCCACCAGGCACTGCCCCGGCAGCCCCAACTCACATGGCAGAGCATTCCCCAGGTCCTCCGGACACCCCTACCCTGCTCTGACCGTGCCCAGCCTGTGAGGCAGCTGTGGCTGTGGCCGGTGAGCTCCCCCACGGGGTGGCAAACTGGGCAGGGGCGGGGCTCATCTCGGCCTGCCAGCCCGGGCCTGGCTGGGTGCCTGGTGCACGGCCACGAGGCCGCGTTGGCCTTGAGCTGGGCTTGCGGGAAGCAGCAGGGTGACCTGCGTAAGGGCACTTCTCTGACAGTGGGGGAAGAAGGTGGACAGAACTGTGACCCCGGATGACCTGAGACTAGGAATGTCCCTGTCTGGACCACAGCGTCTTTCTTGGTGAAGGTGAGGGGCGTGAGGCTCGCACACCCTTCGCTAGGGGTGGCTGCGTGGATGGGAAAAACAACAGAGGAATTACAGCTTCTCTGGTGTGTGCCACAGATGGGATGTCCACGGAGACAAGAGGACAGCTAGGAGGTGCAGAGGACTGCCCTAGAGAGAACCTCAGGTGAGCAGGCTTCCCTGGGCCCCAGCACGCCTCCCCCCACCCCGGCCCCGCACAGGGAGCCCCGGGGCAGCTGCTGAGGGCAGAGGGAACGTGGGCAGGAGCCACCCTCACCTCACTGCCATGGTGCCCTTCCTCTGGGGGCCATCACTCCTGTCCGCTCGCAGAACTACAGTGACCCCTCCTCCTCAAGGGGATAAACTGAGGCACAGCAAAGGAGGTGACATCCCAAAGGAGGCTTCCCAGAACCCAGTCCAGGGCTCCCACTGGACCCCACACTGTGCCTCACAGCCCTCAACACCGCCCGCAGGGGCTTGGAGCACCAGGCCCGGGCCTGGGTCTGAGCTCGGCTCCGCCACTTTCTCCTGATCCTGGGGCCTCAGGCTAATCACTTCGTTTCGTCAGCCAACTTCCACAGCTGAGACATCGGGATCTCTCTCGAAGGGTGTGATGGGCTTCACCCAGCTCAGGAGTGGTGCCTGGCACAGAGCCTGCCCCCTGGTAGTCACCACTGCTGGGCAGCCACGCCTATGGTTATCACTTACCACTGCTGGCATCATCGTCCCTCTGTGCTGATGCGAGGGGGGCAGGCTCCCGGGGGTCTAGAAGGCTGGCCTCAGCAGCTGCCCTTCCCAGGACCAGCAGCCCAGCGAGGGGATCCCTGCCCACGCTGCCCACCTGCCCCCCGTACTCACTGTCCAAGGTGCATCTTCCAGAGGAGGGTGACAGCGAGCCCCGCCCCCCCACGCCCCACTGTTGCAGCCACACACAAGCTGCCAGGGCCCCTGAGGCCTGCTGTCCTGTGGTGGGTGGCATCTTGGAGAATGCTTAAACTCTCGAAGGCCTCTGCTTCCCTTGGGCAAACCGGTTCCCAACCAACCAGAAGATGACACTCAGGATGCTCCCGGTCAGTGAGCGATCGTTAGCAGGGACCCCTGCTGCCCAGCCACCCGCCGGCCGTACCTTGACGTAGTAAGTGATGAGGATCTTGCGGAGATCAAAGACCTGCAGCATGGAGGCCGCGTTATTGTCGCTGATGCTGTAGCCCTCCAGCACATACTTGCTGGCCGTCACCTCCCAGGCCAGCCAGCGCTGCCCGAAGGCGGCATTGAAGGACAGGACCCGCGGCAGGTGGCCGGGCTCACAGCAGCAGCAGCCCTCATCCTCCTCCACGCCCTCCGTGATGGCCTCGACCTCGCGCTGCTGGCAGTATGTACCTGCAGGTGCGCGGCGCCCAGTCAGGGGGCCACCGGGACCTCCCTGCCCGCCTTCCCCCTAGCAAGTGCCCAGGTCTTCACCGTTCCCTGCCTGGGGATGCCGGGAGCAACCGTTACTAAATGCACGACCCTTCCTCCTCCAGACTCCCAAAGGCCACGGCAAAGACTGAAACTCATAGAAGTGACCTGCTCAGGTTCACAGTACTCGTGAGCTGTGCCTCGAGCCCCTCTGTACCCTCAGAGGCCTCTTCCGAGGCTGACATCCAGCATGTGCGTCTTCCTGAGGGCAAAGAGCTACTAGCTCACCCACCAGGGACTTTATGTGGCACCCAACCTGAGCCAAGCCCAAGACCGAGAGCAGGTCAGGGGCAGCTGATGGGAGAACCCAGAGCTCCAGGCCCACGCTTCTGCCAGAACAGCCTGTTCGGTCCCTGTGGACCCAGAGTCAGGACAGGGACACGGCTTGGCCGAAGGAGACCCTGCCACCTCACCACTCATACTGGGAAACCCAGGCCTAGGGAGGAAGAGTGCCTTGTTCAAGGTCACCGCGCAAACCAGGGCAGGGCTGGACTAGAACCCAGCCCTCACACGCTATGAAACGTCAGGCCCAGGCCCCGAGGCTCACCCCGGAACTCAAGGCCACGCAGCTGGAAGGTGACGAGGCCATTGCCGACTTCGATGAGGTGCACCAGGGCGTTGAGGTAGTCGGAGGCCAGGACAAAGCAGTCGCCGGGGCCATAGTTGCCCCAGCGGCCCAGCACCAGGTCCCCACACAGCGTGTGCTGCAGCGAGCGTGTCAAGTGCTCGTAGAAGATGGAGTTGAGGTTGTTGTCGTCAGCGCCTGAGACCCAGGACAGACAGACAAATGGACAAAATGACGAGCAAGCCCCCCTCCCCAGGGAGGCGCTGCCCTAGAGGCCCCCGGGTGGCCAAGTACACACCGGGGTTCCGATCCAGCTGTGTGACCAGGCGGGTGTTGGAATGATCCACACGTTTAGTGCTGTTCAGACAGAATGACAAACATAGTCGGCCGACAGATTCCAAAGAGGATCCCCGCCAGCCCACCACTGCGGCCTCGGAGCCCACACCCCTGTTCTCTGGGCAGATGCCATGAGAGTCCCATTTCACAGGAGGCCGAGGCTCCGGGACGTGAGGGGACTCCCCCAGGACCACACAGCCAGGAAGAACAGGGGATGAGCCCGAGGCTTGGACAGACTCAAGTTTTGCGCTCATCAGATCAGCCACCTGAAGCCTGCCATGCCCAAGCACTTGCATCCCTGCTGCGGCCTCTCTCTGCGCCCCGCCGGGGCTCCAAGCTCCCCTACCTTCCGAGGCCCCTCTGGGTGACCCGCCTGCTCCCTCGAGACTCACTTGTAGTCGCGCTCCCAGAACTTGAGGGGCCGCGCGTAGGACATGATGAAGACGGCGCTGCCCAGCAGGGGGTTGAGTGGCGTGGAGAAAAGTGCCGAGAGCAGAGCTTGAACGAACAGCATGGCCGAGTCTGGGCACGAGTCAAGGAGGTGGCGGGCACACAGGACCCTCCCTAGCCTCCCTCACCACCCTTTAACTCTCATCAACCTGCCCCGCGCGCCCCCATCCAGGCCACCGTCCTCCCCGCACGCCGCCCCCCCCCCCAGGCCACGGGCAGCAGGTTGGGTACGAGGCACGGCAAAGGGCTGGGCGAAAGCGTGGAAAGCAGAGCCCCAGGTGATCTGCCAGGGCGCGATGTAGGTCAGCACAAAACGCAGCTTGTACAGCAGGTCCCACAGCTGGCAGGGTCGGAGAGGGAAAAGGAAAAGATACGCAGGTCACTCACAGAGGTGGGGTCAGCCAAGGACCCATGCAGAGCCTCAGGGCTACCCCAGTGGCTGCCCGTGTGGGAGTCAAGCTCAACATCACTCCCAGCCCTTTCTCTCTGGACCTGGCTCAAAGCACCTGTTATTGTTAGCAGACCCTCTAAGGGAGCGTTAGCCGACTATTGGCGGGACCACCCTGGGAGCTTCCTATTCTTGCCCCATTTTGCAGATGGGAAAGTTCAGAAAAAGCAGGGTAGGATGACGACTTGCTCAAGCCATAAGTCAGTGATGAGGCTGGGCCTCGACCATGATATTGAAAGTTGAGACGGGCCCCGCCCTCCGAGGGGGGCACAGTTTGGATCTCTACCATCCTGGACCAGACCAGAAGCCAGACTAGAATGCCCATGTAAAAGACAAAATGGCTCAGGGCCATGCTGGGGTCTCATGGCAGGCACCACCACAGGCCTCCGGTACAGTGTCAGGGAATGGCTCTTTGTTCAGTGATTCCCCCACTGAACCCCACACCAGGGGATCCCACAGTGTGGCAGAGCAGTCTAGATCTATCCAGGCCCCAGAGGCTTTTGAAACTCAGCTCTTAACTGCTCCCCAGGGCTGTGGCCGGCCAAGGGGCAGAGCTCAGAGGCTGGTTTCCAGAGGACAAGGCCAAGTCTTGACTACCTAGTAACTGCTCACGAGGAAGGTGGTGAAGGGCCATGACTCCGAGAACAGGCAGCGAAGTCAGACAGACCTGGATTCAAGTCCTGGCTGGTCACCAATTCTCTGGGGGACCCGAGGCATGTCACTTTGGTGCTTTGAACCACAGCTTCCTCTGTGCCCCTGGGGCATGCGCTGCAAAGGCCCACGACGGGCCGATGTGGGGCAGCAACTACAGGGCTGCAGGCCCCTGGGGAAGTTCTCCCCGCTGCCAACACAGACAGGTTCTGCTCCCGCCGCACAGCCTAGAGCCGGCAACGTGGCTGCCAACTCACCTTGCTGCAGAACAGGGACATGAGGAAGTAGTCGAGCAAAAAGCCCTGGGAGAGGCGTGGGTAGTCGAAGTGGAAGAGCAGGACAGTGAAGGCCAAGGTCAGGTACTGCTGGGGTGGGCAGCAGAAGGCTGAGCGCAACAGCTTCAGCCCAGCCACCGTCATCAGCAGCGCCCGGCAGCTGTGGATGAGGAACAGGCATTAGGTGGCAGGTGGGACTCGCGGGGGTGCGGAGGGGGTCGGGGCCCATCCCTCCCCGGCCCTGGCCTGGGCTCCGCCGAGCTGGGCCCTGCTCTTGTGGGCGAGGGACGCTCAGTCTCTGCTCTCTAAAGGGGTCCCCCTTTAGAGACACATCTGGGAGACACATCTGTTTTCAAAGAGGCAACTGTCTCAACAGAGAGCGTCAGGAGCTCGAGAACTGCTTTTGCTTGCTTGCTGGGGCAACTGAGGCAGGCGTCATTCCCTCTGTGGGCTTCAGTGTCCCACGTGTCCCATGGGAATGCAGACGGGGATGGTGGGGGGGGGGGCGGTCCTCACTAGAGGCAGAACTTGTCCGGGTGGCTGACGACGGCATGGGCGTCCACCGTGAGGGCATTGAGCACCACGGCAGGGTAGATGAGGTACTTCTCGATGCACTGAAGGCTGGCATACAGCTTCTCAAACCACATCACCTGCGCAGCGCCTACAACGGGAGGCAGGACTGCTGACCCTCCGCGCTCCCCTCCCACTGCTGGGCCAGGTCAGGTGCACGCCTGGAGGGGGCCTGGAGGGAAGGCAAACCGCGGCTCTGCGGGTCCCCAGAGACTTTGTGGCAGCTCAAATGAGTGCGAGGAGGCCCGAGCAGGACATTCAGGGTCTCAGGGCACACGCCTTGCCCATTCTGCTGTGTGGAAAAACAAACCTAATGAGGACATCCCCGATGCCCGCTGGAGCCAAGGCAGGCTGGGTGAGGCCCACACACACGGTGACCTCGAGCTACAGCCCCTTCATCACGGGTCACTGGCCCCCCGGCTTGAGCTGACTGTAGCCACATGGGAACGCCGGCCCAGTGGGCAAAATCTTTCATCGCTTACGCAGAACAGGGCATGTGGAACTTCGTGTAACAGATCCAGGTGACGAACCCGAGGCTTAGAGGCGCTTTATCACACAGCCCAAATGAAAATCGGCCTGGCAGACCTAGTCTATGGGCAACCAGTCAATCCTTCCAGACGACAGAACCCTTTAGGGCCTTGGAATTCTACATCCTCCATCTCCCCAGAGAAAGCAAGAGGAGCAGAGAAAGAGCAGGGCAGGCAGCGTGAGAGGCAAGCAGGGGCCTGGCCGGGGCGCAGCAGGCAGGACTGGAGGGCAGGCGGGGCTGCTGCGGGGCCGCGCGCGCGTGGGGACCGGGGGCATGGGCAGAGGCTGCCCCCTGCTGGCACTCTGAGCTCTCACCAGGCTGCACATACCCCGCCCCCCCAACAGGGGCAGGAGGGGTGGAGGGACCCCAGCGCCCCGGGGCAGGCACTCACCTCGCACTTCATACTGGCTGTACTCAGACGGCTTCAGCACAGGCTGCGACAGGCAGAACCAGGGCAGCTGTTTGCGGAGCTGTGGCAGCAGGTAGTGCGTGAAGAAGCCCACGGCCCCGGCCAGGGCATACAGCACGAAGCCCAGCACCGACTGCAAGAGGGGGAGGCCGGAGGCTCAGCCCAGGCGAGTGGGCCACGGAGACCACGGGGCCGGGGCACGGGCCTGGGCGGAGAAGGACATGAGGCCATGGCGGCCAGGGGCCCTCAAGCTAAGCAGGCTCCTGCAAAGAGCGAGGGGGCAGGGGTGGCCCAGGCCACACGAACCTTCAGGGCGATGAAGACGGTGCTGGCGCTGACGGCGAAGGTGAGCACGGCAATCACCACACACATCACCAGGTCAGAGTGCAGGACCTCACGCTGCAAGGCCGGGACACACGAGTGTGGGTGCCCGCCAGCCCAGGGCCGACCGCACTCTGGCAGCCCTCCGCCCCGAGACTAGAACCCCACGCTCCAGCCTCTCACCACCGACTGGCGCATCTTGTCTGGCAGTGGGTCTGGGGGCTCAGCCCGAGCTGTCTCCAAGCTCCGCTCCTCCAGCTCGGGGAAGAGCTTGCTCCTGATCAGGGACCTGGGGTGGGTGAGAAAAGGCAGGGGCCCGGGTCTGCGGAAGCCGCCCCTCCTCCCGCGGGCTCCAGGGTCAGCTGGTGACAGGCACGTGCACAGATCCCCACCGCCAACTCTTGCCATGCACACTCACACAAACACACACATGCGCACGGACAGGCACATGCGGGCACCCACCAGAGCACAGTGGGGTCACTGCTCTGACGGCTCAGGTGGTAGGACAGTGCCACCAGGAGGCCACAGAAGACCGAGAAGAGGACAGGGACGTGCTGCTCCGGCCAAGGAGTCTGGGGAGAGAACCCATGCTGGTCAAGGGAGGCAAGGGTAAGCGTGGGGGGTGCTGGGGGGGTCCCCCCATGGGAGAAGCCACTGCTGATCCCAATTCACAGTCCTGTCCCAATGACCCCCCTGGGCCTCAGCATGCCCCCCACCCCACAGGTCATCCCTACCTTGATGGCCCCAAGGCAGAAACCATAGAGCAGGGCAGCAGCGAGCAGGCTGCGGGACAGGCTGAAGACTGCCGTGAGCGGGCTGGTGGCAGCTGTGAGGGGGGAGAAAGAGCAGGTAAAGACCAACTCCTACCTGCTGGCATCCCACCTCACCCCCACCCCGCTGCCCCTCAATTCCCACAGGCTAACCTCCCTGGGACCCATCCCCAGCCCACTGCTGTCTGCTCCCTGAGCCCTGAGAGGTCCTCAGAGCTTCTGGCATTCTTGAGTTTAAACCACTTGCTTGGGGGGAGGATGGGGGAAGAGATGGGCTCTTGAGATCCACAGTATAAACAGAGGAGAAAGATCAGCAAAAGGCTGGAGCCATATAACTAAGCGCCAGCCCCTTCTGGGCCCCACGCTGCCTCCCGACCCCCAAGCCACCTATGGGCCCCATACCTGTGCCCCCGAAGCCATGCATATCTATCTGCTCCAGCAGGTACATGAGGCAAGTGTTGACCTGGGGCAGGAGGCCCAGGAGGAAGACGAACGGGAAGCACAAGGTAAACACTGTCAGGGAGGGAAAGCAAAGGTCCGGTCGGTCAGCCTGCAGGCCACCCCTTGGCCCGTCACCCTCGGGCCCTCACTCCCCGGGGCCACCTCAACGCTGCCCGATCTCACCGGTGGCCACGTCACGGGCACAGAAGAAGAAGGAGGCGGAGAAGAGGGTGAGGCCGTACAGGGAGACGGGGGGGAAGGGCTGAGCTGAGCCCAGGGCGTCCAGCAGCCAGATGAGCAGACAGCAGATACAGAAGTAGACAGGCCGGCTATATGCGATCACCCAGTTGTGGCCCTGGGGAGCAGGACGGTGAGGGGCCAGGTCTCCCCAGCTGACCACCCCGCACGCACATCCACACACACACACACAGGTTCATGCATGCTCCTGTGCCCTGCCCATGGCCCTGGATCCAAGATAGAAAGCCTGGCAGGGTGAGGGCAGCAGGACTGAGGATCTGAGGCCACAGGGGTGGTAAGGGAGCCCTGCCTCTCCCAGACCCCTCCACACCTGTCTCAGCCCCTACCCATGGCCCACGCCCGAGCCTCGTGGGGAAAGGCACTGGTACTCACATGCATGGGAGATGCCGCATCAGGCTGGACGCTCTGGAAGAGACAGCAGCTACGTTGGCAATGAGAGCCAGAGCCCAAGGGAGGGTCAGAGACCCCAGGACCTGCTCAGTTCCACCACCGGACTGTCAGGGGTGGCCAGGGCAGGACCCTACACCATTCTGAGCCTCGGTTCTCTCATGGGTAAGATGGGAGGCTGACTACAGGGGATCTTAAGCACCTTCTCTGCTTTCGAGCTCACGCCCCTCAAAACAGGTTGCGGGCATGGAGATATCTAGAAAGAAGTGGGCGAGGGAAGGAAACGCAAGGAGCAAGGCCTGACCTTCAGCAGGGAATACTGGCAGGAGGCGATGACCAAGCAGAACTGGAACACCCAAATATCCGTGAAGAAGCCCTTGAGCAGCAACAGGTAGCCCAGGAAGGCGACGAGGCTGCTCAGGCCGATGCCGAGTATGTTCTCCACCAGCCCCCGAGTCCTGGAGAGACAGCAGGGTCAGGGCACACCCATCTCCTTCCCGGCTAGTGGGGCAAAGGCAGGTGGAGTGGGGAGGAGGGCAAGACCCAGCCACAAAGGCCCACTTCTGAGCCTGTGCCCAGACCACCCCTCCTCCTCTAGATATGCGAACCTATCCCTTTCAAGGACGGGGCCCGGTGGCCCCTGCTCCCGGAAGCTGCCCCATTGCTGCCCTGCATCCCGATCTTCGCCCCTTCCAGACCCTGAGGCTCCAAGGGCCACCACTGAGGGGCTTGCCTGTCTGCGGCTCACGCATGCCCCAATCAAACAGGCCGTGCTATGCACACAGGCGGGGCCCGACACACGCCCACTGCAGTGCCAGGAGGAAATCCAGAGTGTGGGAAGCCGGGCCACAGGTTCTAGGCCCAAGCCATCCACGCAGATAACAAAAGTCATCTGACTTCCCTCTCTGGCTTCCTGGTCCTCAATTACCCCTAAGAAATGGGAAGACTCAGATAAAGCGTTTAGGAGCTTTTTTAGGCGACAGCACTCAATTTCATCAACTCTTAACACTGAAGCAAACAAAAGCAACAGACTGGATGGGAACAGCTGGGAGCAGGGCTTTTGGACAGGGAGTAACTAGAGCACCATCCACTCGGCCATCTCTTTATACCCCAGAAGGACCTAGTCAAACCCCACCACAGACCTCAGCCCCTGAGGCACCTTCAGTGGCCCCCGCCATTAGGTTCTCTGATGCCGTGATGGGCTCCACACGTTTAGAGGGTCCGGAAGGCCCGGGGCCAGGCACTCACCGGTCCAGCAGGGCCAGGAGGGCCAGCCGCTCGTAGCGCACGGACGTCCAGCGGCCAGGAAGCAGCCAGTACTTGTAGCTGTGCTGGGCCCGCGGCGGCGCCTCCTCCATCAGCGTCTGCTCCTGGGATTCGTGCAGGGAGTCCTGGTCCAGCAGGTCAAACTGCGGTCCCCACAGCCGCAGCCATCAGCCCCTCGCCCCCCAACACGGGCCACTGCCACCACTCCCCTTCCCAGTGCACACTGGCTTGTCAGCCATCTGCTCAGCACAGCACAGAAAGAAAGTCCCCTGTGGCCTGTCCTGCTGCTCCATCACAAAGGCGCGCTCCTCTCTCCAGGTCCCCGGGACATGGCTCAATGGCTGCTGGGGACTGCTGGGGCTGCCGAGGGCCAGAGTCGCCAGCGCCCACGTCTGTCCTCCCCACTCAGGCAGCCTCTCCTGCCTCTTCCTGGGCTCAGTGAAGTCCACCCTGTCCTGTGGGACCCAGTACAAATGGTGCCGTCCTCCTGGACAGAGCCATCATGGGTCACTCTGACCACCCCACGCTGAACACATAGAGCACCAGCCCTGACGAGAGGCCTGGGTGCCAACGGCCGTGTTGTGACGCCCTAGGCAAGCTACTCAATCTCTTGGACTTTCTTGTGCCCTTCATTCAGCAAATACTTAGGGGGCAAGCTATGGGCCTGGCCCTGTGCCAGGCCTTGGGGATACCATGCAGAGCCAAAGATGCACGGCCCCTGCCTCTGGATGTGGCCATCGGCTGTGTCAGGACCATGGTGCCCCTCCTGTGTGACAACTAAGGAGAATAAGTGCATCAGAAAGGGGCACGTGGGGCTTCTGGGCCCTGCATGTGTTCTGTGACCCTGAGCGTTAGGTGTGTGGGTGCCCCTTTTACCATAATTCTTTAAATTCTAGAGTCTGCGTCTTGCACGTCCTTAACGCTTCTGTTGTTCCTAGACTAACCGCGTAAATTATTATCCAAAGCGGGACGCTTTCAGAGTGAAACGGGAGGTTATGGTAACGAGCAGGGACAGAGTGCCCGGAGCCATGCCACACGCCCAGGCCCAGCACACGGAGCGCCAGGCCACGGCCGGGTAAGCTGACCTCTTCTGCGGGTTTCACCGCAGAGACCCGCCCTCCCAGCTCCCTGTGGGCCTCTCCAGAATAAAAAAGATTCTCCATACACACTTGTTGAATAAATGAACGAACGACTCCCTGAGCCACAGAGATCCAGAGCCCGCACACCCAGGGCCAGCCATCAAAGGTCAGGACACAAACGCGGGCCCCCAGAGCCCTCACTTGAGCGGCCTGTCCCTCTTGGCACCTGGGCTCCGCGACCTGCCCTCCGCCCCCTGCCGCTGCGGCCCCTCCTACAGGTCCTTCCCTGACCACTGGCTCCTCACCTCCGGGATCTCCAGGGGCACACGGCGCACCTGCATGCCCTGCAGAACCACGGGCCTCGGCTGCAGCAGGTTCAGGCCACCCGCTGCCTCAGGGACATCGGCCGAGTGGAAGCTGGAGGAATGCGAGTGGCGGTCCCTGTAGGAACAGCAGCCATGAAGATCGGAGCCACTGGAGAGCCCCAGGACAGTGGTGGGACTAAGGCCAAAGTCAGGCCATAACTGGGGTTCTCAGGGGGCTGCTCAGATACCCAAGAGGATCACAGAGGATCCAGAGGAAGCCAGTGGCAGAAGTGCCTGCCTCCCAGGCCCTGGGCTTCCTGGAGGCCTCCTGCCCAGAAATGTCACGTTCCTACAGTGTCAAAGGATCCCCGTACGCCTGCCCTTCGCTGCTTCCCCCTCTCTTCTCCTGAAGGTTCTGAGCTGTCCCTGCCCCAGCACAGCAAAGAAAATGAGAAAATCCCCAGAAACGGCAACCTGCCAGGCTGCTGGCCAGGAGAGCCCCAGCTTGGAGACTCACCAAGCTCCATTGGCTGCCTGCTCCCCCTGCTGCCCCACAGGGTTCTCGTAGCCGCCTCCAGCTAGGCCGAAGGTGTAGGAACGCCGCACACCTGGGCCAGGGGTATGGGACACAAGGCAGCACGTCAGGGACAGGGGCACCGAGGCCTCACCCACATGGACCACCCAGTGAGGAGTTCCCCTGGATGGCAGCCCAGCCCCTAGGAACCCCGAGCTGGGGAGGAGAGGGCCTGCAGGTCAGCCCGCCCTGGGTTCGAGTCCCTGTTCTGCCACTTGCTCAGCTGTGACTTCAGGCCGTGCCTCAGTTTCCTCACAGGCAGAGCAGAGATAATGAGGCCACCCACGTCCCAGAGAGACTGCAGGTTTGATGGCGGGCAGCACAGGGAAAGCAGTCACCACGGGCTGAGCGGGTGGTCCGTGGCCAACAGCGCGAGCACTGCCACTGGGACGACGAAGACCCTCGGCAGGAGGGAGAGGGGGTGCCGGGCCCCCGGAACTCGGGGGAGGGGCTCACCGCTCTCGTCGTAGAAGTAGTGCACGGCACCCTCGGACGTGTCATCAAAGGTGCAGGCCTCGTGCACGGTGGCGCCGGCCCGCGTGAGCAGCAGGGAGGAAGCGAAGTGCAGGGCGGAGGGCAGCGTCAGCGCCCGGGAGTGAGAGGCCGCCCGGCTGCGCTGAGCCTCCTGCAGGCTGCTGAGGAGGGGCCAGCCCGCGGGTCAGCGCCACTCAGAGCCACCGGCCCCCGCCACCCCTCCGACCGACCGGCAGGGGCTCACCTGGGCGGCGAGCCCATGACAGAGGCTGGAGGGGTGGGGTTGCTGCCCGCATTGTGGCGCCTGCGGATGGCCTGAGTCCGCCGCACACTGCTCGTGCGGTCCCGCTTGCCAGTCTCGTCAGCTGCTGCCCAGGGAGAGGCCCCGTGCATAAGCCACAGAGGCTCGGACACAGCCTCGGACACGGGGGCGGGGGGGTGGGGGGGCGCTGGCAGCTGCTCCTGATCAGGTCAGGCCTAATCCAACCGTGTCCTGCCTCCGGGGCCTAGCCAGGTCACCTAACCGCTTGTGCCTCAGTTTCCACATTTGGAAATAAGGACACGCTCTTGCCCTGCCCCGCTGGTGGCCCAGGAGAATGAATGTGGACGCTCAGAGTCCCCGATGCACGGGGCTCTGTGCTAACTGCAGGACCTGGAGCCAGGTGTCTGAGATCTCCCAGCCCTGCTCATCTGAGGGGTTCAGCAGACATCACTCAACCACTCAGTCCACATCCACCTGCTGCCTGAGACAGAGGCCGAGCCAACTCTGACCAGCTCCACTCCAGCCTGGCCTTTGTCCAAACCCAAGCCTCTACCTAGTTCACCGCCCCCACGCCCCCAGCAGAGCGGGCACTCACCTCCCCCCACAGCACCTTCCTCTTGCAGCTCCCCCCGCCAGCCGGGCTGGTTGGCAGCAGGTCCCCTGTGGGCCTCAGCGGGCAGCAGAGCAGGCTCACCAGAAGCCAGCTCCACCCCCGCCTGGGCCTCCAGCTCAGCCTTGGAGCCAGCCAGGGGGGCCCTTAGGACATCACCCCCGGCCCCATCCATGCTCAGCACGCGGGCATGCGTTTTGGCGCTGGCGGTACTAGGCGTCCGCTGGGTCCCGTAGGGCCGCTTGGGGGGCACAGCAGCCCCCTCCTCAGCCCCATGGGGGGCCCGTCGCTTCCGGGGTCCCCCTGCTGCACCACGGGGGCTCTCGGGGGAATAGCAGGAAGTGGAAGAAGAGCTGTCAGTACTGTAGCGGCGCTGAGAGCGGAGGCTGGAGGCTGGGCTCAGCTCGCTGCCCTCGCTGGTGTCTTCGTCCTCAAAGAAGCCCCCACCTTCAAGCAGGGGCCGCCGAGGGGCACGGCCAGGCGGGGAGTGTCTTCGCATGGGGGGCCGCCGCTTGGTGGGCCGTAGCAAGGCCAAGTCCTTGGGCCGCACAACCAGGAGTGGCTCAGCTGGGCCCGGTGGCGTCCCTGCTCCTATGACTGTGTCAAAGGAACGCAGCGTGTCATCAGACGGGACTCCGGCATCTGGTGATGCGGGCAGCTCAGCCTCAGACGGGGGGTCTGTGTCGCTGCCCTCGGGGGCTTGCCCACCGGGGGGGCTGTCCAGATGGGTTGAGTTGGTCTTCTCGCTCTTGAAGCTGCTCAACGTCTCCCTGTCAGTGCCACTGAAGCAGGAATCCGAGGAGCCCGCTTTCTGGGGCGTGGGCTCACCGGAGCCCCGCCGGTCCAGGGGCTGGTAGCCGCCTGCTCCCCGGCGTTGTTCCCGTCGACTGCTGGTCCTCACAAGGGCCCGCTCAGGCCGGGTCAGGGTCAGGAAGCTCTTGCTCAGCTCCTGGCTGAGGCTCCCCTTCAGAAGGGGGCTCATGGGAGTGTCGGCCACACTGCTCCCACTCCAGGGGGCTCCATCCCCAGCCAAGGGAGAACGTTCTGAAGAGTCTGTGCTGGGGAGAGAGGGGTCTGGGGCAGCCCCCGGGGGTGTCTGGGGAAGGTCTCCAACTATCAGAAAAAAGGAAGACAAGATGAGGAAAAGGCATGCTGCAAAAAGAACCAGCCACTAAGGGGATCCTGTGGCCACCACTTCCCCAGAGCCCAGCTGGGGCAGGACAACGAGAAGGCCCCATCCTGAAGGACAAAGAGAGCTCTGGGGAAGCAAAAGTTGGGGTGACTCAAAGACAAGATAGCCAATCCTCCCCACAAGCCCCTGCCAGATCATGCCCACTCACTCAGTTTCTCCTGTGAGCTTAGCTTCAGCATCTCTCGATCCGCTGAGGTCACGATCACATTGTTGCTGCCCTGCTCACGCACCAGTTCCTTGATGTCTGCAACCATGGCCCCACAGGTGTCAGCAGGATTTCAAGACATCGGGGTGCCCTCTCATTCCACACAGCCAGCAGCCACCTACCTCTGAGGGGCCCAGAGTCCTCCATCCGGGGCAGCAGCTCCTGAGCAGACAAAGAGAGAAATGAAGGAACAGAGTAAGAAGTAGGCTCGGGACATACCCCAGTGGGGACAGGCTCCCAGGAGAGGAGTGGGACAGGCCGAGGGTAGGGACCACTCACCGAGACCTGGTTGAAGCCAAACACAGAATGCTGGGAGCTACAGCGTACCGGAGGTGTGGAACTCACTTTCCGAAACACTGTCATCTCCACACCAGGGTCCCTAGCAGTGAAGAAAAGCATCAACTTTCAGCTAACCTCCCCCTCCCTTGAGATTATATTTCCTCTGCTATCCCCAGCACTCCTCTCTTCTCAAGGGTCCTCTCACAAGTCTGGGGCTGACCACAGAACAGGTGCTCACCTGCTCCTGAAGTCAATGTCCCTAAGGCTCCGAGGCTTAAGCCCAGGCACTAGGACCCCTTAATTCCCAACACAGCCCCTCCCCCACTCACCTGGGCAGACTGCTGTCCCCCTGCGCAGGCTCCTCCTCTGGCTCCCCCATGGTCGAGTTGCGCTTCTCCACAATCTCGCCCTGATCGAACATAGCATGTAGCCGATAGTTCACGGTCTTGATGGTAGTGAAGATGACAGCCACCACGAAGCAGTACACACCGGCCACCATCACGCTGGGGGGCAGGACCTGGAGGCAGCAGCAAGTCAGGTTCCTCCTCACGCAGCCCTGTCCCCTCTCCCCACGGGGTAGACCTACCACCACAGTCACAGCCAGCTTTCACAAATTCACAAGACCTCCTCACCCATCCCTTACAACTGGTACAAGGACCCTGTCAAGGGGTTCTATCCTCTCACTGGAGAGAAATCAATTGAGAGGCTCAAGGTCACCCAACCCAATTAAGGAATAATTTGGCCACTCCTCCATATACCCCACACTCTGCAGTGAGTCCTCTCTCCACCCCCACAGCGCCCAAACCCTGCCAGGTTGGCACCCCTCCGTGACATCTGCCCTCCCTTTCCCCGGCGGGAGTTACAGGTGGCGGCAGCATCTCACCATGTACAGCAAAAAAGGAAAGGTGAGCAGGAAGATCCAGACGTAAAGGTGGAAGCAGTTGGAGAAGGTGCTCTGGTGCGGGTCGAAGAACCAACCGCCAGTGAGCGAGGCCCACACCCCTTGGCGCAGGATCTGCAACACCTGCGACCCCATGGCCCCGCCGCTGCTGCGCGCGCCCCCCTCCCGGGACCCTCATGGGGGCGGCCGCTGGTCCATGCCCCGCCTGGCGCCCGAGGGCCCCGGGGCCCGGCCTCGCGCTCACGCCATGGCCTCCCCCAGCCGGGGAGAGGGGTCTGCCGGGCGAGGGGGCGGGCAGGGGGCGGGGCCGACCCGGGCAGTCAGCGGTGCGAGGCCTGGACGCGGGGGTGGAGCCTCATCAGGGGCGGGGTCCAGGCCCCCACCCCCGGCCCAGAACTGCTCCGAGGGGCCGAGCCGGTAGGCAAGCGCGGGGCACGGGCCGGACACCCGTCGGCGGCATCCAGAGATGGGCGTGGGGTGGGTGTTCCGAGGGTGCAGGCGACGGCTCCCTCGGCTCCGGCCCGGGGAGAGCCCCGGGACCCTGAGGTCCACTTCCGGGGTTACAGGTCACTCGCTTCGGTCTCAGCGCTCGCCCGGCTACTGCGGGACCCGGCCCAAGGGGGAGGCCGGAAGGAGCCGCGAGCCGCCAGCCAGCAGTGGCGCATGCGCCCGACAGGCCTAGTTGGGACCCGGAAAAGGAAAAGTTGAAGGCAGAAAACCCGACGCACGCGCAGGAAGGTGGTAGAGCGCTAAGACGCGGGGGAGCCCTTTGGGCGTGCGCAGAGTCCCGGTCTAAAAGAAGAGAGGTCCAAAAGCGGTAGCGCTGGAACGCATGCGCACACTTAGGCGTTGTCAACCCAGTTGACACCACTGGGCGGAACCGAAGGGATAGTTGAGTGGCCACTGGGTAATGGCGGAATTAATTGGCACAAAACTCTCCCAGTGAGTTACAGGAGGCGGGGAAAAGGGTGGAGGCGTGGACTTCCCAGGGCTACAGCGACAGTTTGCTACCAAAGCACGCCCCTTTCGGTCCGCCCCTTTTTAGTGCCGGACCTCAAACCCGCACTCTCGCCCCAAGCTGCCTCTACTTCCGGGTCACAGCTCAGACTTAGCGTGTAGAGAGCAACGCTCCAGAACAGGCATGAGTAACAGAAATAGGATAACGTCGTTTTTCTTAAAGTGACAGATTCAAGGCAATTGGGGGGGTCAATCCAGCGATTGTGAGGGCGATTTAGCTATTCTGAATCCAACCGCTGGGCGAAGTTCAGGACGACAGTCTCAGGTTTCCGCCCACTTGGTAAGGGGCATGAAGTGGGTTGTTTCCCAGGTGAGGGGAAGAGGACAGGCTTAGACAACCCGTTCCAATAGCTTGAGATGCAGCCAGTTCCGTCTTCCAATCTTGCCCACTCCCAACCCAAACTCAGCAAAGTCGAGCTTCTGGGCCCTTTGTCAGGTATGAAGGGAAGGAAGCGAAGAGGAGTCACACTGTCCTGCAACTTCGGAGCCAAGACTAGACTCAGGTTTGCCCCACTCCCAAGCCGGGTTCTTTACCCTGTTTGGCTGATGCGGATGCGGAGGGGATGGCCTGTCCTTAGCAAAGACCAACCTCGACCCTGAACCTTCTATGATGGGCGTTCGGGGCTACCCATCCCCTCCTGCCCTTCATTGCCCGCCTACCCGGGAACTCCCGGGACCAGTGCCGGCAGCCTCTGGGAGGGGAGCAGCGCTACCCGACCGCGTCATCTGATGCTGTTTCCTGCAGGAGGGAGAAGAGCGGAAAAAAGTGAAACTCCACCCTCCACCTCTGCCTCCCGCCCCCGGGGCCAAAGTACAAAGGGAGGAGGAAGAAGGGAACGGGGTTGGAGCCGTCGGGCAGAGGGAGCCGGGCTGGGAAGCGGCAGCTCGGCCCAACTAGGGACACTCCAGCCACCCCCTGCGCAAAAAGACCCAACGGAGTCCAGGCGCTGCCCATTTTGGCCCCACCTTGCACTTGGCGAGTGCCGGAGCCAACCTCCCAGGACTGCTCCGGGACTGAGGGACGTTCGGGCCCCTCCAAGCTGGCCATGGTGAGACGCCGGAGGCCCCGGGGTCCCACCCCCAGAGCCTGACCACACTGCCCTGGGTGGCCCTCTAGAAACCCGAGATGCGGGGGGCCGGGAGTCAATACTCCTGGCTCCCCAGAGAGGTTTGGGTCTGGGGCTGAGGGCCAGGGCCCGGATGCCCAGGTTCCGGGACTAGGGCCTCGGCAGCCAGCAGGGGTGGGGACCAGGGGCACCCAGGGAAGGTACCCCGCTTGCCCCAATATCGGCTCCCAGCCATGGAGCCCTTGAAGAACCTCTTTCTCAAGAGCCCGCTGGGGTCATGGAATGGCAGTGGCGGTGGGGGCGGTGGGGCCGGCGGCGGAGGCTGGCCAGAGGGGTCCCCGAAGACAGCGGCTTATGCCAACCCGGTGTGGACAGCCCTGTTTGACTACGAGCCCAATGGGCAGGACGAACTGGCCCTGAGGAAGGGCGACCGTGTGGAGGTGCTGTCCCGGGATGCAGCTATCTCAGGCGATGAGGGCTGGTGGGCGGGCCAGGTGGGCGGCCAGGTGGGCATCTTTCCATCCAACTATGTGTCTCGGGGCGGTGGCCCGCCCCCCTGCGAGGTGGCTAGCTTCCAAGAGCTGCGGCTGGAGGAGGTGATCGGCATCGGTGGCTTCGGCAAGGTCTATCGCGGCAGCTGGCGAGGTGAGCTGGTCGCTGTGAAGGCAGCTCGCCAGGACCCCGATGAGGACATCAGTGTGACAGCTGAGAGCGTGCGCCAGGAGGCCCGGCTTTTCGCCATGCTGGCACACCCCAACATCATTGCCCTCAAAGCCGTGTGCCTGGAGGAGCCCAACCTGTGCTTGGTGATGGAGTACGCGGCCGGTGGGCCCCTCAGCCGTGCCCTGGCTGGGCGGCGTGTGCCCCCCCACGTGCTGGTCAACTGGGCTGTGCAAATTGCCCGCGGGATGCATTACCTGCACTGTGAGGCCCTGGTGCCCGTCATCCACCGAGACCTCAAGTCCAACAACAGTGAGTTTGGGGGAGCATGGTTGGAGGGCGGCATGGCCCAAGCACACACCTGCCAACTCTCAGCTGAGCCACCTGGGGATCCACTAGAGGCAGGAGCTCCTGCCCTAGGGGAGTCCCAGTTGACTTGGGGTGCTATGGGCCCATACTGGCCCCAGAGCGGGAGACCCAGGCACCAAACAGCCCTCCACGCCCCAGCCTCGGAGGGAGTCCTTGACCCCAGCTCCCAGCCACCAGGTTAGAAAATTGGGATCTCCCGGTTGAGCCATAAGCATCCTGCCTAACCGTGGGCACTACTTCAAGGAAGTAGAGCTCTGGATGCTGGCACTCATCTTCCTCTCCCCTAAAGTTCACCCTCGTGCTGTTGATGCTCTGCTCTTGGGGTAGGAAGCTCCTCCAGAACAGAGATCTGAGAGAGAAAAGCCCCCCCACCCTCTCCCCTACCCCTGGTGGTCCAGGCTGGGGACAGGGCTGGAATTCTGGCCCCGCCCATACCCCTGACTGCAGGACCTTTAGCTGGTTATTTCAACTCAGAGCCTCAATTCTGGACTCTGTAAAAAGGGAGTGACCAGGAAGGTGAAATGGCGTAAGGGGCTGGGCGAGCCTGGCGTCTGCTGCCTGGCACACAGTGGGTCTGCAGCTGTGCGGGTGAACATTTGAGGGCTGGATCACCGATAGGGCCTTGCCTGGAATTAGCGCGTGGGGTGGGCGTGGTGGGGCTAAGGGAGACTTAAGCAGTAAGGTAATCCATCTCCAGCCATTTTAGGCCCAACACACTGCCCAGCAGGGACCCAAGACAAGCAAGTGATAGGTTCAGAGGGCTTCCTGGAGCAGACAAGCTTCACACCAGGCCAAAAGCAGACGGGTTCAGAGAGGCACCCAGTTGGATGTTCGGTCAGGGCCTGGCCAGAGCAAAGGCAAAGATGCAGGACCCAGCACCACATACCCTGCCCCCCAGTAGTGGGGACACAGGGTCGGGGCTGATGGGTTATTGGAGAGACATGGGCAGCTCTTGTGGGGGAGTGAGCATGGATATTTTGGGTCTCCTGGCCTGGACTGACCATATACAAGTGGCTTGTGGGGAGCAGAACGCCAGGACCCAGTAATATCCGAGTCCTTGCCAGGCCTGGAGGGGTCAGGGGAAGCCTGCCACCACCCCACCTACTCCTCTCATCTAGTGGGGCACTTCCCACTGCTCAGCCTCCCTCCCTGGCCCTAGCCCTCCAGGGACCCCTACTCCCTGCTCCAACCCAAGGGAGATTCCCCGAAGGCCTTGGGGGAGGGGACTCCCTTCTTCTGTTTTTCCTCCAGTTTTCTTTCCAGAGTAAATGGAACAATAGCCCAGGCCCCTGCTCCCCACCCTCCCCACTGCTTCCTGCGTTTCCTGCTGCCCCTGAGCCGGCTTCCTGCCCCTGCTCCAGCCTCGGCTCCCTCCCCAGCCCAGCTGCCTGCAGGGGAGGAAAGAGCAGGGGGGGGGTCTGTGGAGAGGAAGGAGCCAGGGATTGCATCCCCCCCCCCGCCCCCCCGCTTCCCCTGTTTCTCTCCCAGAGTCTGGGTGGTGGTGAAGGGCAGGCAAGGTGCCCTCAGCCTCTCTGAGCCTGGCCTCCCACCTCGAAGACCCCAGTCCTAGGCCTGGGGTGCTGTCTGCGGGATGGTGGGGGGAGTCCCTGGGTTGGGGGGGCACAGGCAGGAAACAATGGCGTGATTTTCCTGGACAATGGGGGCCTTGTGAGGAAGCCTGGCGGGGAGCGGAGGGGGAATTCTCTGGGCCCACGAGTCACAGGACTGACCAGCCAGCCCAGCCTGGGTCTGACCCCCCCAATTCTCCCCCAAAGGACTGCCCCCCCCAGTTGGAGACCTGGCCCAGGCCTCCCAGAAAGGAGAAGTAGGGACCATGGGAGGGAAGCGGAAGAGGTGTGAGCTGCCTAGGCCACTCCCTAGCCCCACAGAGGCCGGCCTGGGGAGGGGGCTGGGGGCCAGGGCCCTTTCAGAGGCCACGAAGCCCGCAGTGGGGACTGAGAGCATGGGATCTCCAGTCCCCTCTCCTCCAGGTGGCTCCTGACCACCCCTTCCCCAAGGTCTATATCAGATGCCAGAGGAGCAACTTGGGTTGGGACAAATGTAAGGCACTTGGAAAAAAGCAGGGGATGTGGAGGTGAGGGTGAGGCTTCAAAGGTGTCAAGCCAAGTTGGGGGTGGGAGGTGACAGGCCACCAGGACAAAGAAGTCCCAAGACTTTGGATGAGAGGCTGCCTGTCTCTGAGCCTCAGATTACCTGCCGGAAAAGGGAAGGCTGGCCTCCCAGCCAGAGACGCTGGTGCAGAAAGTGCTTCACTGGTCTGTGAGGTACAAGTGGCCAGTTGGTCTTTAAGAGAATGGGTGGCTCCTGTCACCAGAGGAGATTGGAGTCCCTCTCCAGCCTCAACACACAGACCCCTTTGCCTGGTCCCACCCCAGCCACCTGCCCCCACCCTGTTGCGGTTCTGCTTTGAAATGAGCCTGTGTAGCGTTTACTGAATGGTCCAGTTCTGAGCCTCCAGCAGCCAGGCCAGAGGCTATTGCAAAGCAGGGAATATCTTGTGACAGGACAGCTTGGAGAGTCAACACGAGATGGTAGAGGACTAATCTTTAGGACAGCTGACACAGTGTCCTAAAGATGTCCCACCCTGTGTGAAGGATTTAAAAAGTGTGATCTTGTTGGGGGCGTCTGGGGGGCTCAGTCAGTTGAGCATCTGACTCTTGATCTCAGCTCAGGTCTTGATCTCAGGGTTGTGAGTTCAAGGCCCAGGTTGGGCTCCACGCTGGGCATGGAGCCTACTTAAAAAAAAAAAAAAAGGTTTAAAAAAAGTGTGATCTTGTTAAATACTTATGACAATCATCTGAGGTGGGTTTTGTTGTCATCCTTAGTTTTATTAACTGTTCAGGATTCAGCCCCAATCTGGCTCCAGAAGACAAGAAGGTGGATGGCAGGACCATTCTCTGAATTAGGAGAAGTGGCAGGCAGATTTGCCGGGCACGGTGGGATGATGAAGGTGGTTGTTGAGGGCATTTGGACGTCAGATAGGGCACTGATGGGCAGCTGAACTGGCTTCTGGCCTAGAGCTCCAAATGTGGGAGAGGCCAACGGGGAGGGGGCAGCGGGCACTTAGGAGAGGCCAAGACAGCCTGGGGGCAGTGGGCAGAGGTTGAGGAGAGGCCAGGCTCTGAGGACCACTGACACTGAAAAGGCTGAGGATGGGGAGGCCCTAAGGAAACAGCACACACAGGCAGAGGCCCCAGAATCAAAATAAGAAGGGAGAGGGTGGACAGCAGTGCCAGATGCCCCCACAAGGCCCAGAGAGCTTGGCCAGCAGTGGGATCAGGGGGGTTATGGCTTTATGCCTGGAAAAGTGAATACCCTGGTTCTGCCACCTCCTCTGAGAACTCCTCCCTTTCGCCAGGCGGGGTTAGGCGCCCATCCCCTCTGCCCCACCCCCAGGACCCTAAGCTGCCCCCAGAATGGTGCCGTCACCCTGGACAAGAGAGCTGACAGGTGTGTGTGCCCTGAAATGACATATGTTCAGAAAGGTAGTTGGCTTGGATGTCGCTTCTCTACAATTACTAGGAAAGGGAGAGGCCCTTTCAAACCCTTGATGATTCTATGACATTGTCATCTTTCTGTTGCTCAAAACCTTCTTTCATTTGAGCCATGTTTGTCCTGATGAGATGTGTTAAGTTGCTGCTTCTCCTCTCTGTACAGAGTATGGTGGCCCCACCGGGGTCAACACCACAAGCCCCTGCCAGATCTGACCATCCACTCCCACATTTGTCCCAAGCTCCTCCTTTCTGGCCAAGAACCTTCACTTCTTGGACCCCTTTGTTCTTCACATCCAGCTGCAGCAGTAGACATCTTTGGTCGGAGTCTCTCCCCTGGGAGTGGCTGTATAGCCAAGAGGGGGTATGGGCACCAGGGCCTGCTGGGTTTCCTTTCTCACCAAGGGGTTCCCTCCTGCTCCGCATCCCAAGGGAGGTCCTAATTCTCACACTCCTGCCTCAGCAACAGGACAAGACATGGGGTTTCTATTCAATGCGGCATTAGGGGAAAGTTAGAACACTGGCTTTAGAACCACACAGACCAGGTTGCAACTGTTCTTTATTTGCATATGATCTCTGCAAGTCATTTCTCTGCCCAGTTTCCTTTTCTGTAAAATTGGGATGATGATGTGTACCTCAGAGATTGTTTTGGGAGTGCTAGAGCTGAGCATAAATGCCCGGCCTCAAGGAGCCCCTCCATAAACATTTCCCAGCATTGCTATTTTTGTCTGAATCTACCCCAACTCTCCAGAGCAAGGCCACCTCTGTGCTCCCCAGGACCTAGCCAGCACGTCTGTCAGATGACGGTTTGCTCCTAGAGCCTCCTTTGTCCCCACGACCTGAGCGTGGAGCACCCACAATCCTGCCCCCCTCCTCCCCAGTTCTGCTGCTGCAGCCCATTGAAGGCGATGACATGGACCACAAGACCTTGAAGATCACTGACTTCGGCCTGGCCCGCGAGTGGCACAAAACCACACAAATGAGTGCTGCAGGCACCTACGCCTGGATGGCTCCTGAGGTTATCAAGGCCTCCACCTTCTCTAAGGGCAGCGATGTCTGGAGGTGAGGCCTGGGTGGAGACTGGACAAGGCCATCTGTGGGCTGAAGAGGGCAGCGGTGGCTACCCAAATCTAGGGCTGGGCAGAGAGGCAGAGCCCAGAGGGAAGGACCCAAATCATTTGGTTCCTAGTTGCTCTGGGGTAAAATGATGACAACGAGTAAGTAGAGGAGGGGACACAGACCCTTTGTCTTGCCTACAGTTTTGGGGTGCTGCTGTGGGAGTTGCTGACTGGGGAGGTGCCCTACCGTGGTATCGACTGCCTTGCTGTAGCCTATGGAGTAGCTGTCAACAAGCTCACGCTGCCCATCCCATCCACCTGCCCTGAGCCCTTCGCACAGCTCATGGCAGGTAAGGGAAAGGGGCTGGAGGGTGAGGGACAGGGCTCCTTGGCACAAGACACATCCATCCACAGACCCCTTCTCATTCTGTTCCCCCTCCACTCCGTGTCCCCAGACTGCTGGGCGCAGGACCCCCACCGCAGGCCCGACTTTGCCTCCATCCTGCAGCAGCTGGAGGCGCTAGAGGCGCAAGTCCTGCGGGAGATGCCGCGGGACTCCTTCCATTCCATGCAGGAAGGCTGGAAGCGCGAGATCCAAGGCCTCTTCGACGAGCTGCGGGCCAAGGAAAAGGTGGGGGTCACGGGATTGGAAAGAGCCACCGGGAAGTGCCTCCCCATCTCCTTGGGGCAGAGAGCGGGGGCCGACGCTAGGGTCCGTACCGGACTGATCCCACTGCCTTCACTGTCCCGGGCACAGGAACTTCTGAGCCGCGAGGAGGAGCTGACCCGCGCGGCGCGTGAGCAGCGGTCACAGGCGGAGCAGCTGCGGCGGCGCGAGCACCTGCTGGCTCAGTGGGAGCTGGAGGTGTTCGAGCGCGAGCTAACGCTGCTACTGCAGCAGGTGGACCGCGAGCGGCCGCACGTCCGCCGCCGCCGGGGCACGTTCAAGCGCAGCAAGCTCCGCGCGCGGGACGGCGGCGAGCGCATCAGCATGCCCCTCGGTAAGGGGCGGGGCCCAGCGCGCCGCCCAGCCGTTGGCTGCGTGAGCAGAGGGGTGGGGTCAGGCCTGTGCCGGCCACACTGGGATTGGTCGGGGATGTTGGTGGGTGGGCCTGTGAGCTGAAGGCTGGAAGGGGTGGGGCCCGGAGAGCTGTTTTCGTGTGTGGGCGGGTTCTGGCGGAAATATTTGCATGGCGCCCGGGGAGGGGCGGGGCTCATGAAAGTTCTGGTAAGACCTTGGGGACCCGGCGGGTCTCCTCCCGGGAATCCCCGTCTCCGCACAGCTTCTTCAGAAGGTGGCGTCCAGGCCGTCCTCCTTCCTTACCGAGAGCCTGATGGGGCCCAGGAAGGCAGTGATGCCAGCCCCAGTCACGCAGCCACCGTGCCAGGCCCGGTCGCTGCACTGCCTTCGTGGCCTGGGAGCCGGCTCACGGCCCTGAGGGTTAGACGTGGCTCTTCTTCACCACGAACCTACACCCTGCTTTCCCCCCACCCCAGACTTCAAACACCGCATCACTGTGCAGGCCTCACCTGGCCTGGACCGGAGGAGAAACGTCTTCGAGGTCGGAGCTGGGGATTCGCCCACCTTCCCCCGGTTCCGGGCGATCCAGTGTAAGAAACCTCCTCATGCAACCCCCCCCCCCACACACACACCCGTTATCCAACTTCTGTCAAACTTTACCTTAGGGGGTGGATGCCACCCACTGTCTCCTCCTCTAACTCCCAGCACCCGGGCTCCCTCCCATGTCTGTGGTACCTCTGAGTTCTCTTGGCAGCATTCGTTTTATCTAAGTTTTATAGATGAGAAAAGTGAAAAAAGTAACTTGCCAAATGTCACACAGCTGACGAGGGGCAGGGCCAGAATTCAGACACAGGCAAGCTTGCCACTGGGTGCTACTGAGCACAATGGCAGCTGAGAGACTGGGTGAGATGCCCCGCCCCACTGCTAGCCCCAGGACCCAAACCCACCTTCCCCATCTCCGTTCTGTTAAGATTCTCTGTGCCCCAAAGCCCACCCTCGGAACAGTATGGGTTCCAGCCTGATCCCCCATCCCCTAAGAAGTTGTCCCTGGTGCCTGACTCTCATGATGGGGCTCTTGACCTCAGCTCAGAGTCCCCGGTTTTCCTCCTACAGTGGAGCCTGCAGAACCAGGCCAGACATGGGGCCGCCAGTCACCCCGACGTCTGGAGGACTCAAGCAATGGAGAGCGGCGAGCATGCTGGGCCTGGGGTCCCAGTTCCCCCAAGCCTGGGGAAGCCCAGAATGGGAGGTGAGTGCCTGAGTGCCCCCACCCCGCCATCATCTGCCTCCCAGTGGTCCCGAGATTCATGAAGCCCAACTCCCCTCCCCTCCCCAGGAGAAGGTCCCGCTTGGACGAAGCCACGTGGTACCTGGATTCAGATGACTCATCCTTGGGATCTCCTTCCACACCCCCAATGCTCAATGGTGAGTGGCCTTGTCTACCCCCTGCAGACTCTTGCTGCACTCCTGTGGGTACTATGGGGAGAGCTACAAGAAGTTAACTGTGGGGTAGGCCGTTCCTAGAACCCACATCTGACCTGTAGGTCCACAGCTGAGCCCAGGCTTCGGGAGGCCCAGAGTGCGGTCCTCTTGTCCAGGCGTGGCCTGCAAGAGGGCTCTGTCCTGGCCCTATGGCAGCTGTTTTGCCTCAGCAGGCTGTAGGGAGGGAAGGAAAACAGGGAATGGTACTCCCCATCTGGGACCCAAGGAAAGCTGAGTCCAGAGAGGGGAGGGAAACTGTCCACGCATAGTGGAGCCAGGCAGGTGGCTGCCACACTGTGCTTCTCAGAGTCCCTTCTGGGGATCCTCTAGGTGGAGAAGAGGATAAGAAAGCTGAGCAGAGGGGGATCCAGGGCCTGCTTTCACTGCATCCGGAGCAGTTCTGAGCTTTTCTGTCCTCCAGGAGGATAGCTGTAGTTACTAGGCTCCAGGCATGCCATCTGAACAACAACCCAGTGAGGGACATGCTATTATTATTGCCATTTCAGAGATGAGAAAATTGAGGCTCTGAGAGGGAAAGTAACCTACCTAGAGCCTTCACCTGAGGATTTGAACTCAGAGAGGCTTAGAAGCTTTCACTTGAAGCAAGGGTTGGGCACATAGACACTGCTTGGGAAGCTAAGGGGTTGAGCAGAGAGCAGGGCTCCTGTGTCAGAGGGATAAGAGCTCAGCTCAGGATTGGCAAGGGGTAGAAAGCTGCATCCTTCCTTGCCTCTGGGTCCCATCAGCGCCCCTGTCACCCCACCCAGCATATCACCTCCATCATTATCGAATTACATTTCATAGCAGTAACAATGGGTAACATTTACTAGGTCGCTCCTATGTGCCAAGCAATGCTGTGAAGTGGGTATTATTATTAGCACCATCTTGTAGAGGCGCAGAGGGGTTATGTGGTTTGATGTAGGGCACACAGCAGAACAAGAGATTTGAACCCAGGTCTGACTCCAGAGGCGGGACCGCTGACCCTCATCTGCCACACCATTCGCCACTCCAGAAATCACACTGCCCCAAGCTGGCTGGGCTGCAGGGACTGAATTGAGAATTGGAAGGCCAAGGGGGAATCTTGGATTCACCTGCTCTAGAATGTACCAAGCTAGAAGGGCCAATAGAGAACTTAAAGTCCTGTCAACCCAGGTGTGTAAGTTGAGGCAGCCCCTACCATGTTCCGCAGAGCCCTCTGGCCCTGACCTTCCCCAGCAAGCAGGAGTGGGACACAGGGGCCTGTACGCAATCCTTCTCAAGCTTGCCCCTTATCGGGAAGGATCTCACCTACCCCAGCCCAGTTGCTGGCCGAGCACCTGGTTCGCCGAGCACCTGGTTCCCCGAGCAGAAGCCCACACTCCAGTGGCCATTTTGGGCCCAGGAGAGTACATGACCTTGACCTCTCAGCCACCCACAGAGTCAAAAGGCTGGCTGAGAATCAAAGAAGACCCTATGAGATTGCCCCAGGCATACGCCATACTACTGGGGAATGGGTTGCAGTGAGTTGCCTGCTGGTGGACGCAGTCAGCCTACTCTGAAGGAATAGCCCTTCTGATCCTCATGCCCCAGAGGTTCTGGTTCAGGTTCAACATGAAGCATGTTGCCCTGCAGCTACTAACGACCACATGGCACGTCCTTGCTGTGAGGCCCCACGGAAGCAATTTCACCTTCGTCTGTGGGTCCAGGATGGCTGTACCGCTTTATCCTAAAGCACAGGGATGCCAGCTTCTCGTGCTAGGAAGCTTAGAGGCAAGTTCAGGGAACTCCTTACTGAATTACCTTGAGCAAGGCACTTATCTCTTGGAAACCTCTGTTTCTCAGGCCATTGACTGCAGGAACGTCTTTACACTTTCATTTTGTGTACTGACTTCCATCTCCCCTTAACTCTATCTCATTTCTCCTGCCGGTTCGAAACACGTTTGTGCCCTGTTCTCATTATAAACGGTCCGTTTCTTCACCTGCAAAGTGGTATAGTAACACTCACCTTGTGTGGCTGTTGCAAGGATTTTAAGAATGGACTCTTCCATCCAGCGTGTATCGATGCATTTTATGAGCCAGGCATGGGCCTGTTAGAAATCAGCCCTGCCCTGCCCTGGGGGCGGGCCTAGTTTGGTGGATGGGGCAGCTCATGAACGAACTAGTGCAGCGGACGGCAGGGAGTGGCCAAATCAGGCCTGACGTGAGCCATGACTGATCCAGTGAGGAGGCTTCTGGAACCTTCTAAAAGAGGAAAGCGCTACTGACTCCACTCCGGACACCAAATGTACGGTTCACGTTCAGTTCTGACACAGGCTGGCTGGGGTTAGCATCAGACCCCTCAGGTTAAGGGCTCAGTCCCCGCAAGACTGCCCCCCCACACACACACCTCAGACTCCAGTCACAAGACCCGGTTGTCCCCTGTGCTTCTGACCACCCAGCTCTAAATCGGAGGATCCCGTGACCTCCTCAGGTTTGATCATTTGCTAGAGTGGCTCAGAACTCAGGAAAACAGCTTACTTACTAGATTACCAGTTACTTGTAAAGGATGCAGATCGAGAACAGCCAGAGGAAAGAGATGCAGAGGGCAAGGATGTGGGAGGGGGCGTGGGGCTTCAGTGTCCTCTGGGGCACCACTCTCCTAGCACCTCCACATGCTGACCCACCTGGATGCTCTCTGAACCCTTTGGCTAGGGTTTTGATAGAACCTTCATTATGTGGATGGGATCAGTTGATTAAACCATTGGCTGTTGGTGATAGACCTCAATCTCCAGCTTTCTAGTCACATGGTTCATGCCCCCAGCAACCGGACCCGGATCCTTATGGGCTTTCCAAAAGTGACCTCATTAATCTGAACTTAAAAGTGATTAAAAGGGGCTGGTTAGGAAGAGCAGAAGATGCCCCTTTTACTTAATCAATCACTTAGGAAGATCTGAGAGTTTGAAGAGTTCTGTGTGAAGAATGAGATGAAGACTTGATGGATATTTTTTATTGTAATTAACAGTATCAGCTTCACAGAAGAGGTGCCCCTTCACATAGGTCTTTTTTTTTTTTTTTTAAGATTTTAATTTACTTATTTGACAGAGAGAGACACAGCGAGAGAGGGAACCACGAGCAGGGGGAGTGGGAGAGGGAGAAGCAGGCTTCCCGCTGAGCAGGGAGCCCGATACAGGGCTCGATCCCAGGACCCTGAAATCATGACCTGAGCTGAAGGCAGACGCTTAATGTCTGAGCCACCCAGGCGCCCCCTTCACATAGGTCTTAAATGGTGAATAAGGGATCACAGAAAGCCAAGGTGGGAAAGGTGTGCTGGGCGGAGGGAATAGTGTGTGTGCAGGCACCGGGCTTCCCACACCCAAGGGAGAGGAAGCCTGGCTGGAACTCGGAGGGGAGTTGAGAGCCAGGGAGTTGCAGGCCCCAGGCAGCAGGTGGGGGCCAGGCCTTCGTCCCCTGGGTCTGTGAGGCCCAGCCCAGTTCCAGCAGATGTCGGTTGAGTGAATGAGTGGGTGAAGCTGGAAAAGCAGGCAGGAGCCAGTTCAGGAAGGGCCTGGAAATGAGGAGGAATTTAGCCTATTTGCATTTTAGAAGGCAGGGGCCTGGGTAGGGGGGGATAGGTCAGAGAGACTGGGTAAGGGTTGTAGCTGAGAAAAGGGACCCTGAACTGAGTCCTGGTAGTAAAAGCTCAGTTTCCCCAGCATCGAATTTCTTCCTCTGGACACCCAGCCCCATGTCCCACTCCAGGCCTGGCCCAAGGTGGGTGGAGTGAGGGAAGGCTTTGAAAGCCCAGCCAGGAGCTTGGACTTTATGTTAGTGGTAATGGAGAGCCATGGCAAGTTCTAGAGCCAAAGAGGACTTGACAAAATTGGGCTTTGAGGAGGCCATCACAGGACCATAGGACCCTACCACCACCACCTTCTCAATGTCCGGTTCCCCAGACTCACCACTGGTGGTCTAGAATGGAGTCAAGCCAAGCTTAGGCCCATAGGCAGGACACTGATGTCCTGAAGTCCAGAGCAGGATCTGGTTGGGAAGTGGCAGAGAACAAAGGCTTCACTGCCTCCACCTGGAGTGAGGCCATCTCCAGCCCTCACTGGCTGTGCAGCCTTAGACACAACGTTAACCTCTCTGAGCCTGGAACCCCTGGGGCATGAGGATCGAATAACATACTGCCCCTAAATCACCGAGCTCAGGCCTGGCACAAACAGCTGACCGCTCTGAGTTTCTGTTCCCTCATTTCTAGAATAGGGACAGTGACCCGTGCCTCTCGGGGCTGTTGTATACATTGGAATTGACCTGTGTGCCCTATACAAGCTACTGATGGAGTTGGGGCAGAAGGACCGGGCCTGGCCCGCCAGGAAGGAGGTGGGCACAGGGCACAAGTCCCAGCCCTGTCCTTGGAGCCCTGCAGATGCCCCTGGCTGGCCATTAAGGCCGCTGAAGTCAGCTGGGATCTGGCCTCAGCTTGCCTCCTGGCGGGCTCACCCCCGCCCCCATCTCCCGGCTCCCAGGCTTTGCTCCTGCTGACTCCTCAGCCTCTGCTGACCCCCCGCATACCCGCGCCTTCTGAAAGGCCAGAGAGAGAGAGAGAGAGTGTGTGTGTGTGAGAGATGGGGGGAGGCCCGGTGCCTAGGGAGGGACTGGGTGGGGGAGTAATGGAGTCAGGGAAGACGTTGGTGGGGAGCAGACCTCCGTCCTTGTTCCAGGGCCACTGAGGGGTCCCCGTGGCCCCCGCCCGAAGACGGCCTAACGTGTGCCCGCCCCCCGCTGCCAGGTAACCCCCCACGGCCGAGCCCGGAGCCCGAGGAGCCTCGGCGCCCAGGCCC